ATAGAAGATCTGCAGATAATCCTATAGGTGTATGGCCGGCTTTACAGTTTGTTTCCTTTAGAGATCAGCCACAGCCTTAGTAGAGAAGCCTGTACCCTGCCAGCGTGCTGCAGAGATGAGAGATGTGAGAGATGAGAAGGCTGCAGTGGGTGTATCTGGGAAATCCTCGCCTGCATCACATCTGGGGGTTCCCAGACCAAGGGGAACGGCGTGGAGCGCAGCAATGGACTTGTCCTCCTTGTGAGGATCTCGCGGCTTCAGTTTTATATCGTTACCGGAGTAGGACTTAAGTGGCAGCCGGCAGACCTCTCGGGCATTCCGCACTGACATCGCCGAGTGGCTCTTTGAATTCCGTGTAACGATCTGGATATAATGAGACAGCAATCTGCATCCAATTTCCTCCCAGCGGTGACTGTGCATGCCTGGAAGATGCCCATTATTCATTTCAACCAATTATTCTCGCATTAACGGCCTTCGTCAGAGCTGCGCCCGCTCGTGTCAGCGCGTGCCGGGCATTTCTTTCATAAAAGAATCGGTTTTGCACAGATTACTAGAAAATACATTTCATTCTGGAATTCGCCCTCCCGCCATTCTCAGCGTCGGTGTTGCCAAACGTAAAAAATAAATAATTGCAGATCGCTAGTTTAAAGATGTGTCCTTGGGTGACCACGCTCGCTCACCGTACAGTATCTTTAAAGTAGAGCCGCAGCTAACGATAATTCTCAAAATCGGTTAGCCGATTTTTAAGTTCGATTTACAAGTTCAATCGGGAGGAGGTGCGGCGTGTGGATGCGGGCTGGCGGGTCTGGCAGCGGCGATCGTGAGGCGGGGAGGAGGTGCGGCGCGCGGCGTGTGTGGAGCCGTGAACAGGGCCAACTAATCGAAAGCCGATTAATCGAGGATTGAAACCGTTGACAACTTTTTCAATCATCGATTATAATCGACTTAGTCGATTGGTTGTTGCAGCTCTACTTTAAAGCGGACAATATAACAACAAACACGCCTTTAGAAATGTTTAGTGATGACAATCTACAGACACATACTTCTAGATAATTGCCGGCTTTGTATTCTTTACATTCCTTATTTCTCTTTTCTTCCCCAGCCTTCTGACAGCGGCCATGTTTACTAAGGGCAGATTACTAGCTCTCCTTTTACTTCCTTGATTACTGGCACATGTGACCATGCACATCATCTCCAGGGAGGAAAATACCTTGAGATCTCTTGAGATTACAGATGAGATTTCCCAGCAATGCTCTGCTGATGACAAGGCAATCCCAGTGCGCAATGCTTTGGCAAACTGAAGTCATTTTGCCCTTTCAAAGCAGGAAGTGAATGTTCTGCAAGTGTCAGTATTTCCAAATCACAGCATTTTACACCTGACATCTCTGTGTTATTATTAATCATCTTACATAGAGGGATGTATTGGTAGTATTTGATTTTTGAGTGTAAATGTCCACTTTAAAAGGAGCAGCATTGTCACTCTAGGACAGAAAGTGTGTTATGACTAAAGAACAACTCTCCCTCTCATCTCCATAGCATTGAAGGGAAGCGGTTCTGTAGCTCACAGAGCTGAAAAGGGCAACACTGATTACACTGCAGTGCACACGATTTCTGGCAGGATCAACGGGTATATTTTTTGCATTCATTGAAACAATATAACAAAATACTTTCAAAGCAATATTAAACAGAACAAAAGGGGATCAAAAAGGAGAGGTCCATTGTTTGGTTTTGCATACCCTTTAAGGCAGACCTATACATAACTATCCAGTAGTGCTGGAAATGTCTAGACAGAAGGGATGCAACTACTTACCTTTCCTGCAAAAGAAATTCTGCTCTGGCCTCCATCTGCAGAGATCACATGACCAAATGCCTAGGTGTTTGGTCATGTGATCTCTGCAGGTGCAGCTCCAACCCTCCCCTTCAGCAGGAACCAACGCACAGCTTCCAGGTAACACCTGAGCACAGATCAGCTTAAAGGAGAACTATGGGATTAGGCCTTTTCCCCATAGTTCTCCTAAGGGTAACGGGAAGACACAAACTAGCGTCCTCCCGTCACCCTAAGCTCAGTATATAGGGAGCTACAGCTAACGGTATACTGAGATGCCGCAGCCGGAATGGATCCCGAAAATTATGTCTGGATCCACCCAGCTGCGTGACAGCTGGCTCTAGAGGCAGAGCCAGCTGTATCCGCCCCCTTCCCCGTCCGTTCCGCCAGTCAGCGCTGGAGGATCGGACAGGGAATCCCTGCAGGGAGCCGTGAGTGACAGTCACGGCTCTCTGCACAGATAGATCGAGAAGTGAGCGAGCGCCGGTATGTGTTCACTCACTTCCCGATCTACTGAGACGACCTGCGACAGTTTCATTGTCACACGTCGGCTCAAATTATGAGGCTGAGTGAAAATCACTCGCCTCATAATTCTCCTTTTGACTAAATTAGCTTTAGCGTGTCTATGACTGTGGGATGGGCATTAGATTGTCAGCTCCTGGGGCGCCGGCACTAACGTGAATAGTTCAAAGAAAACTGTACTATAGGAATAAGTTTAATAATTTCTCAAGGTGAAAAAGTTATATGTCTCAATGTAACAAAAGGAAAAAGAAAAAGGATTGAAGAGAAGATGATCCCAGCAGATGAGGAGTTAATTGAGCTCTGGATTATCGGCCGGTGCGGAATCTGAATAATTACTCGCCGCCCCTCCGCTCACGGACGTCTCTAATTAATCTGAACCTACTGTGTCTCCAGAGATTGACTCCTCTAAAACCAATTATATCTTCTCCTGGCTGATTCCAGGCTTTGGGCAGTGAGAGGTTGTCTAATGAACACAAGGTGAGCTCGTCCCGAACAGTTCCCGATCGACGCTCAGCCAAGAGCCTTCCTATAAAACTAAGGCTGGGTGAATGTGCCCGGATTCCATTCACCGTGGGCCAATCCTATGGAAGCCTATAGGGAGGCTGAATCATTTTAATTAAAGTCTAGAAAATGATTAGGGCTAACAGGTGGAAAAAAAAAAAGTGAAATGCATTGGGGCGCCGGGTACTGCCATGGGGAACAACAAGAAAGGCAAAAAAAATAGCATAGGGCAGAGGGAGGGACTTTTTATGCGGCTTTTGAAAACACACAAACCCTATAAATAACATTTTCGGGGGGGACGCCTTAAAGCTGTACACGGTGTTTTGGAACAATGCAATTTTAACACATGGGCTCAGTGGCAGCGTACGCCGGCAGCACAAATGTGGCTGCAGAATAGTTTTTTGTTCTTTTACCATTAGCAGTGTAAATCTGGCCAGCAGCAGAACAATGTTAAACAAGGCTAGGCCCAAATATACTGGTGACGAAGAGCACAGGCTGAGGCTTTAGTACAAGAATTCAGATACTGCATGAGATACAGCAGAGTAAAACTGGCCAGCAGCAGGACAATGTTAAAAGACCAGGCTAGGCCCAAATTTACTAGCGACAAAAAAAAACAAAAAACCCTTAAGGCCTGGTTCACACCTGGGCGTTTTGTAGCGCATTCGAACGCTCTGCAAAACGCTCAAACACCAAAATCCCATTATTTCCTATGGGTATGGACAAGCGCGCATATTCGATACGCCTAGGTGTGACCCCAGCCTAAGAGTTTTCGATCCAACGCACTCCAGACCAGAACCCCAATCAAAATGGTAGATGCTGGTATGTCTCGCGTATCGAGAAGAAGTCACCCGCACTGGGAGGTCCAATAAGCAGATGCCTTTATCGAGACATTAAGCAGTCACGGTGACGCAGTGTAAGAGGCAATGTTTCCCGAACCGTAATAGGTCCCCTCATCCGTAATAGGTCTCCTCATCAGGCAAACACAGTGATGACTGTTTGCCTGATGAAAGGACCTTTTACGGAGGGCGGGTGACTTATTCACAATAAAGATCACAGCTTGATGCTTTACTACAAGAATGAAGAGACAAGCGGATACAGCAGTGAAAAATTGGCCAGCAGCAGGACAGTTTTAAATCAGGGATAAATCGGCCCAACCGATGTATGCCTAACTTTGATCTCATTTATGGTGATATGGAAGGTGGGATGAAGGTGAGGGATATGATGTGAAGTGGTTTAGGTGCACACTGTTCTTGCACTTAGGGGATCATTTAAAACAGTGGATATCGCTATCCGCTCTGCTTTATTCTTTGCTGTGCTACACATACCACGAGCCTTGGTGTCCCTTATGGAATTTTCTCTGCTCGGACAGAGCTTCATGACTGCAGAATAGGTCATGACAGGGATTTCCTCCCAGCTTATTTTTCTTTGGCACTCCCCTAGAGGTGAACAACAGCACAAACACATCTGTAAAGCTTGTTGCTGTAAATATAAATGTGCATTTACAGTAAAAAACAAAACAAAAACAGCAGCATGGCCACCGTGCAGTCATACCGCTGCTTTTTAAATGACCCCATAAACTTTTTGTTTTCTTTCAAACTAGGGTGCCAAGTGATTCAAGAACAGCACAGTGTACCAGGGGGCAGATGTGTTGGATAACCTTCTGAATAAGACCCTCTTACAACTGCTTTCATATCGAAGTGTAAAGAAAGTCAGCCCGGTGCTGTTCCTCGGAATGTCAGATAAAAGGGTCCATTGTCTGTGGCCCTGGAACCAGTATGGAGCCTGCCTCCTGGGCAGAAGGTGGTTCTAAAGATTCTCTCTGTATTAGAGCAATCCTAAAATGAGTCAACATAGCGACCGAGTCTATTCAACATCGGGGGCACCAAGGCTGAGAAGTGTGAAGGAACAGACAGAACAATGGTGGGTGGGAACTACAGACAGAACAATGGTGGGTGGGAACTACAGACAGAACAATGGCGGGTGGGAACTACAAACGGAACAATGGCGGGTGGGAACTACAGACAGAACAATGGCGGGTGGGAACTACAGACAGAACAATGGCGGGTGGGAACTACAGACAGAACAATGGCGGGTGGGAAGTACACAATCATTCATGGGAGCTGAAGATCGCATTCAAAAGTTCTCAACTTACTTTTCAATGAGGTCCAAAGTGACTCCAGGAACCAGCTTCACGCTCTTCTGCATGCAAAACCTACAACAGGAAAGGTGAGTTTAGTTTAATCCAAACACCAGCAAACTGCAGGCAACATACACAATAACACGGCATGTAATTTAGCTAACATGCTAGCAACATTCTGTAAAATGGCAGCAGCTCCTAGCAGTCTCCTATAGAATGGCAGACCTTATCAGTCTCCTGTAACATGGCAGCGGTCCCCTAGCAGTCTCCTGTAACATGGTGGCAGCCCCCTAGTCTCCTGTAACTTGGCAGCAGCTTATACTGGTCTCAGATGACGTGGTAACAGCCTTTACATGTTTGCCCCTAGTAGTCTCCTGTAACATGGCAGCAGTCCCTAGTAGTCTCCTGTATTATGTTAGCCCCTAGCAGTCGCCTGCAACATGGTGGCAGCCCCTAGCAGTCGCCTGCAACATGGTGGCAGCCCCTAGCAGTCACCTGCAACATGGTGGCAGCCCTAGCAGTCACCTGCAACACGGCAGCAGCTTATATCTGTCTCGGACAACACAGTAATAGCCTCTACCAATCTTCTCCGGCAACTTAGCAGGCTCTAGGACTCCCCTAATATAAAAAAAAAAAGACAGCAGTTTCTAGCAATTTCCAGTAATGCTCCGGTCTTTTTCTGTTTGCACCTTGTAACACAACATCCGGAGCTAGAAGAAAAGCAGCAGTCACTAGCTGCCATCTGCAACACAGCAGAAGTCTCTTGTAACATCGCAGAAGTCTCTCATCCGACAGTTTCTGGTCTCACATGCCAGCCTTTAGAACTGTGCAGGGGGTTGTCATGTATTGTGACAGCTCTTTGTTGTGGTGAAAGCAGGAGCGGGGTTCAGGCTGCGGGTGCAAATTCTGCAGGTCCTTCAGGGTACAAGTGGGTGCAAAATTGGCAGCGGTACGATTGCGGGACGGTAATTGGGTGTACAGAGCGGACTAGCACGACCTTTATTGCACCCTGCTGCCTCAGAGGGAGTTTCCGCTTCCCCATCTGGGTATTGAGTACTCGGGGGCCCTCCAGTAAATAAGGAATGATGCCAGTGACAGAATCCAAGCATTATGGAAATGAGGGATAGAGGAGCCGGTGTGCCGGGCCTCATTACCAGCCACTCGGAAACTCATTCCTCCAGCGAAGATTGTGATCAATGAATTCCTGGCAGGTTTTTCATACGGCTGAATAATGCCGGGTAAAACAGACACGTTATGGAGTGTGATGTACATGAGCCTCCATATAAATCAGCCCACTAAGCTACGCTGAGATGTTTGCCCGGGCTGATAGATATTTGATTAAGGCCGAGCTGCGGCTCCATTACCGCAGGCCGACGCTGCAAGCAGACAGTTGTGCGCCGCTACCTGTCCCCCCGCTCGCGCGACACAGGCTGCGCTGGTTCCCTCATCCGGGGACTTGTGAGAAATTGATTTACCCATCAACACTAAAAGAAGACATGAAGCGTCTGACCCATGACGGCTTTTGCCCGTTTCGTTATGTCACAGCATGACCACAAGTTCAAAGAGATGGAGGGAAAAGGAAAAAAATACCATAAAAGATCGAGGGCTAGAATTCAGAAATGAGCAAAAGTGAGATATCTCTGCACACAAAATCAGACGGCAAGCACCGCTGTGCGGACCATAGTACGTCCGCTGCTACCAAAGAGGAACTCCAGGAATGGTAAAAAAACTAACCCTGACAGTAGGGATACCCCAGCACTGCAAGGGTTAAGTGCTCGTTTTGGTCTAGGGGCCGGAAAGAAGAAGATATACTCACCTGATCCTCGGTCCTGCGGCAGAGACCGCTCGCCTCTCTCTGCTCTGGAGGTTGAAAGTCCATCAGCGTCCTCAGGTGTATTAGACATGATGACATCACAGGCCCCACAAGTCCTTAGACTGCTAGAGCCTGGGGGAGAAGAGCCCGTGGGGACCGATCTAGCATCCAGGAGGATCAGGTGAGTATATTTTTTTAGCCCCTTAGACCAAAACGAGCACTTAACTAGGGATGCGGCGATAACAGTATTTCGGTATCAAGTACCGATATTTTTTTTTCCAGGTACTCGCCGATACCGAAAGTCCCATTAAGGAAGCCAGGCGGTGTGTAAAGACTCGCCACCCGGCTTCCCGATTAGCAGGGAAGCCGTCTCCATGCTTCTCGTCACTAGGCGATGAGAACGCATGGAGCCGGCTTTCTGGCCAATCGGGAAGCCGGGCGTCGCGTCATTACACGGCGCCCGGCTTTCTAAATGGTCAGAAATCCGGCTCCGTGCTTTCTTCTCATGAGGTGACGAGGGAGCATGAAGCCGGCTGACTTGGTGACATTCTCCAGACTGGAAAATACGTAAGAAACCTGATTAAAGACATGAAAAATATAAAATCATTTTGTAGACATGTGACGATTGATCTCCCGGGTGGCACTGAAAATGGCCTTGTGCGCCCACCGTAGCACCCATGCCTTAGGTCGCTGATGTCGGAGGGGGTGGGACAAGCTTTATTCTTAAAGTGACACTACACTCAGGAGTTAAAGCCTAAAAATACATTCAAGTCCCTGAACTATGAACAACAATGTATCTTATTTGTGTATCACTCGGCTGTGGATCCTCCTATCATCTCTGAATTGGTGCTGACACTGTCCTTCCTTCTGGAGGGGGGCTACGTCTGTTCCCCATGGTCCCTGTGTGTGTTGTAAAGTAGTCACCGCTCCTTGCTCACTCCCGGGATGGACTACAATCTCATGTTTAGTTTACTCATTTGTACTGTGATTGTAGTCTATCCCGGGAGCGAGCTTGGAGCGGTGACTACTTTACAACACACACAGGGACCATGGGGAGAAAAAGTAGCCCCCCTCCAGAAGGAAGGACGGTGTCAGCAGGAATTCACATGTAACATGCATTTTCGTGTGTATTAGCGCACGATAGCAAGCCGCCACCCCCTTGCAACCTCTACTTTATTTGACTTTCATTAGACAAACAACAAAAAAACACAAAAAGCATGAAAACATACTAAAAAATGCAGGCGAGAGCAGATGCAAAGGTGTGAACCTAGCCAGAGAATACTCCCAGGGAGGACACAACAAAAACTCAGTAGAGGTTCTAACCCTTCTACACCTAAACACAGAAAGTCTTCTCTACAGATTGATGAAATAAAGAATTCTCCGAGCATTTTGTAGAATTTATTATTTAAAATCCCTTTTATTCCGAGTGCCAACTATCAAACTTCAGATCCCCGGGCTCTATGGGGTAAGGGGGTGAGTACAGCAGACTGGAGATTAGTCATGCTCAGCTGGGAGTGTTGTGTTTATGGTGGGATGCTGGAGATGCTTTCCCTGAGCAGAACTATCCGCGTGTTTGAAGGAATCTACAAACATCTCTTATGTTGTGCTTCAGAAAGGAGATCTGAACTGACAGGCCTTCTTCTGAGGTTCATAGAATAGCCTTTGGGTAGCAGCAGGAGAAGAAAAAAAAGAAAAAAAGTTACCTTTGCAAACTTGCTTGACTTCGCTGGATGCATGAAAGTAACGAAGGTGCATCACAACTGCACTTAAAGTAGTATTAAGGTCTGGGCGTTCTTTACCTTAATGCATTCTCTGCATTCGGGTAAAAATGGCCCAGTACCTTTTTTCTCCCCCAGTCCCCCCCCACCACACACACACACACACTTACCCGTCAGCTACGCTCGTCCCCGCCGCCGGACACGAAGCGATCCTCCTTTCACCGAACTTCCTGGTTGCGGGGGGACGATACTGATGGCAAAGGAGCCATAGGCTCCTTCTGCCATCAATCAAACTGTAGGGCGGAGAGGAGGGGCGTGGCCTGGAACTCAAGACCCAAAGATCTGCTCTATTACAGGGAAATTCAAAGAATTATGTCTGAAAAATGAACCTTTCACCAGTTATTTTTCCTGAAATGTAGCACTTCCTGGTATGCGAGTGTGCCTAGGCACAGCCTCATAGCTGTATATGCATCTAAGGCACCGCTGTGCTGTTCCCTGCTCTCCTTGCTGGAGGGGAAGCTGTGCTGGAGGACCTGCACTGTAAGGATCTCCCTGCTTCATCCATTCAGTTTTTTTATGCGGTGTTCGCCTCCCCTGCTGCTGCTTCATCATTGCCCCACCGCTCATCAGACTACCAGTCACCAATGGGGGGTAGCTCTGACATGAGGATGAAAAGATCTACCTTTACCCAGATGGTCGCCTCCATACAGAGACACAAGGCGGAAGACATCATGGTAGGTCAATAATAGGGAAAGATCAGCTGCAGGGAGATCACAAGCTTGACCTCTGCCTGCCATTTCTGGCACAGCTTTCAGGGCCCAGTCACACCATATCCAGTGCGTCCCGGTGCAGTTCGTGCACCGGGACGCACTGGATCGCATAGATCAAGCCGGGCCGCATTCTGGGGCGGGACGGGGCGTTGGTGCCATTCTTGTCAATGGCACCGCAGACAAGCCCCCCCACCACGCCCACCGGAACGCGAGGTACAGGAATGCTCCCGCTCCAGTGAACTACACTGGGACCTACTGGATGTGGCGGGACTGGGCTCTCAGAGTTCACTTCCGCTTTCATACTCATCACCCGCCCACCACTAATGTCCCCAATCTTTGCTCTGTTGTAAAGCAAACCTGGCTGCACATTATTCTGTATCTGACAAACTTCCAGGTCTGTAGGGTGCCGGGTCTCCCTTTTCGCTCTGCGGTCTAACCCGCCAGCCCCTATGCCAATACCGTTTCCTGCGGCCAATGAACGGAACCGCAGTGCACAGAGGTGGAATGTGCTGCTGATACAACTGGAAGTGTCTTGGATGCAGAAGAATCTTTGGACTGCAGGAGAGAGAAGTGTCACGGGGCATCAGGACAGCAAGTATTCATTCCTATCATCCAGTGACACAATGGCTTCAAAGGCCATGACATTTTGGAGCTTACCGGTAAGGAATTATAAGAAAGGTAAAAGCAGACTCTTTCCTTCTGCAATGGCTTCTGATGCACACAGGTGAAAGAAAAGAAAAAAGCAACTGCAGCTGTGGTAAGGTGTGCGAGAGGAGCGGACGGGGCTCGGAAAGTTAGCGAACGCACGCATGACGTTCTGCAGATTAATTGATCAATGCCGGGGGAGACGTCTCTGCTGCAGCTGTTCATTATCATGCAAATTAGCTGATAACACAAATGAATCATCAGCCCCGAACCATCCAGGCTACGGGATTCAGTGGGATCTCACAACCCAATTTACAGCGGGAACGCGTGCGCCGTATGAAATGAACAGGATGATAGAGAGCCAAATTATTTCACCTTTTTTTTTTCCCCCGGAGAAAATGATATACTGCAAAGGAAAAAAAAAAAAAACAAGATTGATACTGATACTGTCTTTTTTTAATTCATGAGGGTTTCAGGCCCATTTATGGATCATTAGGGTTTTAAAGGCCAGCAGTGGAGGTCAATACTTCATCCTGCTCTGCTACTATCAAATTCAGACTCCGATATGAAACAAGTCACACCGGGCTCGGCTCTCTATGTGGCAGCTACAAGGCCTGTAGGCATTTCAGTGTCACTTAGATCAAGGTTATGAGGTGCTGAATGACAGGCAATCCCCCCCGGACTGAAGCCGGCCATGCGACGGTAGCTTTTCTTGTACGAAAGTGCACATAAAAAAATCAATGTCTCCGGAGACTTGACAAATGTCGTTCAAAATCTTGTTTGCGTTTAACATTCGATTTTGGAACGAATGGAGTTTCCCGATCAAAAAACCCACATTCACCGCTAGAAATTCCCATCCCGTTCCTTCGATCTGCTTCGTCACTGCGGTGGAAATCAACCATCAAATCAACCCCCATTAAGGCCTCATTCACACTACGGCACGTACAGCTGGGTGCTGCGTGCACGGCCGTATCGGGCAGCTCCCGGGAAGGACAGGTGCTGCGTGTGATTAGCACGCAGCCCCCGTCCTTCTCTATGGGAGTATGCGGCCGTGCGCCGCCCTACGCTCACCAGCCCTGCACGTGCGCGCGAGTGTCCGTACTCGTACGCTGAAAGGATAGATCCGGTCTGCGTCCAAGCCAGGAAACACACACCCGTACGAACCTGCACTTGGGGTGAGCGTACGGCCGCGTATTCCCATAGAGAAGGACGGGGGCTGCGTACCAATATCTAGGGATGTGGTGGTGCTCATAGTGATGGCATGGATGGCGCCAAGTGAAACTCTAAAGTGAAGATCAGATAATCACCAGCACACACCTAGTAGACTCAAATCTTTAGTTGATTTAATAAAACATCATCACATTTCGCCATAAGATGCCAACGTTTCGGGGCCACGCAGGGTCCCTTCCTCAGGGTGACATAGTGACTGATCTTCACTTCAGACAGCAGAGCGAGACACATCCATATAAGAAGATTGCATGCTGTACTGAAGAGCTGGCAATCAGAAATCAAGCAGCGGACAGAACATAGACAGAGCAGAGTGAGACAATTTTATGCTTCATGTTATTTTTGTATTTCTTGTATACAACATATGCAAAGAACAAAACAATAAAAATTGTCAATTTGAAAAAAAAAGAGGAATCAAGCAGCAGTCAGGACAGACAGAACATATTGAGACACGTCCATTGGGGGACATGACCTTGCATGCTGTACTGAAGAGCCGACAATCAGAAATCAAGCAGCGGACAGGACAGACAGAACAGAGTGAGACACGTCCATTGGAGGACATGACCTTGCAAGCTGTACTGAAGAGCTGACAATCAGAAATCAAGCAGAAGTCAGGCCAGACAGAACATATTGAGACACGTCCATTGGAGGACATGACCTTGCATGCTGTACTGAAGAGCTGACAATCAGAAATCAAGCAGCGGACAGAACATAGACAGAGCAGAGTGAGACACGTCCATTGGAGGACATGACCTTGCATGCTGTACTGAATAGCTGACAATCAGAAATCAAGCAGCAGTCAGGACATAGACAGAGCAGAGTGAGACACGTCCATTGGAGGACATGACCTTGCATGCTGTACTGAAGAGCTGACAATCAGAAATCAAGCAGAAGTCAGGCCAGACAGAACATATTGAGACACGTCCATTGGAGGACATGACCTTGCATGCTGTACTGAAGAGCTGACAATCAGAAATCAAGCAGCAGTCAGGACAGACAGAACAGAGTGAGACACGTCCATTGGAGGACATGACCTTGCAAGCTGTACTGAAGAGCTGACAATCAGAAATCAAGCAGAAGTCAGGACATAGACAGAACAGAGTGAGACACGCCCATTGGAGGACATGACCTTGCATGCTGTACTGAAGAGCTGACAATCAGAAATCAAGCAGAAGTCAGGACATAGACAGAACATATTGAGACACGTCCATTGGGGGACATGACCTTGCATGCTGTACTGAAGAGCTGGCAGGTAAAAAAACAAAAAGGTCTGAAAATTCACGAACACATCTAGATAAGAACAGTCACATGAAATCGCTTTCTCACATATTTATATACAAACACATAGAAATAAAAAGTGCATAATAGATCGTCACACTCACCATCGCAGCGCTATTTTAATTGGCGTGGTGAGACAGGAGGTGAAGAGGTCGGCAGGAAGGTCCGGGTTCATAGGCAGCAACTCTACCGCGTCACAGGCCGCCAGCTGAATGCAGTTCTTCATGGAGGGCGGCAACGGCATCTGCGCCAGCGGGTGGCTGGGGGTAATGGCAGCAACCTGGAAATGACATGAAAATCACAGGAATGATTTCTAGACCATTAACATGAAACCAGGATGGAGTTGCAAGAAGACAGCTGTGAAGTAAAGGCAACAGCACAGAACGCTAACCCCCAACTCCTAATCATCACCCTCATCAATGATCATGTACCTCATTGTCATAGCTTCCCGGAACCCTCCCTCCTCTTGCAAACTTCATTCCAGAAATAAAGCAGTTCTAGGTGTGACCGTCCATTAAATATCTATGTACTAATAATGTTCAGGTACAAAATGACAGAAGGACCCGAATACTATGACATCACGCACAATTTAGGAACCCGCCACAGGATGCATGTGAACATGGTGATCGTAACCGCAGTGTGAAATGCAAAGTCAACTCTTCAGTGCCTCATTTTTGCACAGGATTCATCACAGGAAGGTGAAATGCAGATTAACAAAATGTGTCAATTCATATCCAAATTAAAAGAGAATTTGAAAAGCAAACGAGAAAGGAAATGGAATTCCGCCAGGATGAGAGAGCGGACGTGAATAAAAGAGTGAAGATTTGCGGTCTTAAAAGGAACATCGAGAAATGTTGAATTGTGCCGGAAGCCTTACCCGGAGAAATTGAACTTTTGATTTAAAAAAAGCTTTGCACTTCCTGTGCCTAGGCACTATTGATATCAATGTACTTCCTGTGCCAAGGCCTTCATCTCGGTGCACTTCCTGTGCCTAGGCACCCCCTGATATCAATACACTCATGATACCAGTGCTCTTCCTGTGTCTAGACACAATTGATATCCGTGCACTTCCTGTGCCAATGCCTCATAATACGTCCTGCGCCTAGGCACTCCTGATATCAATGCACTTCCTGCGCCCATGCACTCCTGTTCTGTAGCCTCTTATTTGCAGTGTGAGATCTAAGGCACTGCTAACGGACTGCTCTTCTCACCAGATTTGGCGACATCACTACTGTGCTGCTCACTGTTCTCCTTGCTGGAGAGGAAGCTGTAACCTGAGGAACTGCAGTGCAAGGATCTCACTGCTGCTGCTTCCTCCACCTCTCCTGCCGTCTCCTGAATATTCCACTAGCAATCATCAAATCTCCGGTTGTAAGGAGGACAGCTTGATGTCGTGTAGCGATCTGCGCGCGCCGATATCAGGTAACGATCTGCGCGCGCTGTAAACACAGAAGAATATGCTGAAGCTGTATAGAGATACATAATATATTACAGGAGTCTCAGATCAGAACGGGATTCCGTCCATCTCCTAACTCTTTTCTCAACAGCCAGTGCAGGCACTCCCACTGTCAGCTTGATCTGATATTTCAGTCGGTGTACAGGAGATGAAGGGAATTTCATGTAAATAAGTATTAAAGTGAACGGACAGCCCACATTATTTTCTCCAATATTCTGGTTATGGGGAGGGACTGTGATGGTGACTTGCAGTGATGGCAGAACAAAGGGATAAGCACCGATTATCACAAGGTGTACTTCTCCTTTAACCGATCTGGTTGGGTCACCAGCGAGCGTTCACGCTACGTCGGGAGGTCCCATAGCTGCCCAGCCGTTTCCTTTCTCATACATTGTCAATCTGCCGTCACATGAAAGATGATGAAAAGAGCAGACGTGGGTCCGTCATCATTTTTTTGATGAATCGGAACAATCGAAGGACTTTCCTGCTCTTTTGCCCATTTTATTTTTCCCGGGCGCAGGCAGCAGATGGCTGGTGAGCGGCCGAGCAGACACGTGTGGCTCCACATACCTACAGATGGAGGAAGACAGACTTAGACAAACAGAGCAATCTGGCTGCTGTGTGGACGGGAGAGCGTGCCAACACTTAACGCACTGACTCACTCCGATAGATTCAGAGCTGCACATACGGCGCACGGGGTGATTAAATGTCGTCCTACTAAAGTAACATTCTTCTATGCAGCCGCTGTGATCCCCTAAAAACTGTCTCCATAATGACTTGCCGGCGGACGGCTGAAATCAGGTTGACAGTGGGAGTGGCTGCTCTGTGAGCGGAGGAGGGATGTGCTTAGCTGGAGTTACAGGAAGGAAATGGTTCTTGGTTGGTCTCCCCCAGTAGAGTTCCTTAGTGCTCCCATCAGTAGGCAGAAGTTTGAGTACTGCAGACCTCAAAAGATGTTGTCATCTGCTTTGTACGGTCCAGACAGATCTTTATATATAAGGCTTTGTAAGTGTGTTTGTGCTCTTGGTTGGACTTGCCAAAGGCCATGTGACATCACCAGATATGGTGCCCTCGGTAACCAGCACTCAGTAACGGAAATGGTCAGACACAACCCCCTCCTCTTCTTTGCAATACAAATCTGTCCGAGGATACTTATGATGAGGGGTGTAGTTAGGCTCTGCCAGCACAGGGACACACACACACACACACACACACACACACACACACACACACACAGAAATCAGCAAAAATCTGTCAAATATCATAACACGCAGGAACATCACAGGACTATAACCAGATAAAAAGGTGGAGGACTTCAATGGGGCTTTGCCTTGTTTTGAGAAGTGGAGGCACGTCCCCGGCTGCTTAAAATTCCCTAGTGGCCATTCCGAAAGCACGCTGGTCAAGAAGTGAATTCCTTTGTTCCCTGTACCTGAGCTTTCCACTGCCACCGGTCTCAGCAATATAAACATCTAAAAGGGGGATGGCAGAGAATGATAAAGTAAATGTCACAAAGTTCAAAAAATAAAGACAGCGAGAGAGAGGGGGAGAGAGAGAGAGAGTAAGGAACATCCTGTACTAACCAAAAGTTTATCCTGAAGTGTATGAATAATATGTGGGGGGAAAAAACAAAAAAACAGAAAGAAGAGTCCGGATGGCCCGCTAGGTCAAAAATAGGAAGAGCATTATATGAGAAATATCCATTTATCACCTTCAGCGCCATGCGCCCCCAGACACCAATATGAGGCAGGATATTAGAGCTCAGAAACATGATGTGTTTTCTGCCGGAGAGGAAGAAACTTCATCCCAGAACATTTCCTTCACTAGGCATCCTCTGCACAATGCCAATAACGCGGTCGCGAGAGCGCGAGGAGGACAACAGAACTCTACAGCTGAGACAGCTAATAATAAATTCTTCCTCCGTGCCGATTTATTTTATTACAGATGCGCGTTATTTTCAATGAGTCCGGGATTTTATGACTTTAATTCATTTTATATAACTGCGCATCTCTCATCTCCTCCGACTGCTCGGCTACACGGATGTGCATGGAGCGATCACTCACCACCGTCTCGGTGACACATAAGTGTCGGGTGGAACTACCGACTGATGGTCCACACGCGGACTATGGAGTGGAAGAGTTCCGAGAGGAAAATGATCCACCTTGATTGCACCCTGACTGGGTTGGAATTGGCAGTCCTTAAAAACGTAATTTCCTAAAGGGTCCTCTCGGCAGTAACGTCTCCCCTGTCAGTGCCAGAAACATGTTAGGCTGGCATTGCAATATAATACTCACAGTTGGGAATCTCTCACGCTCAGCCCGGTTTCTGCTCCGCAGGAGATTGTGGGTAGATCATACAAAGATGTGTTTCAAACTTTTACTGCGTGACCTTCTTCAATATCTTTTCAATACTTCTCCTCGAATTGCATCGGCACCCCCAGCTGGCATAATAAACTGGCACAGCGGCTGTGCACACAGCGGTGCTGTGAAAGCGCACGGCATGCCAAGCCACTTTAAACAATGAAGCAATATTCCGCAAATAAAAAAAAATATTTACTTCAGTCTTATCATTTCTAATTTTTTTTTTTTTTAGGCTTCTGTGTTATTGCTGCATAAACACTCCCCCATTCCCAGCACCCATCATCCGTGATAGATGCAAAGTACCCTACAAACTTCCCCTGCCCGCGCAACGATGTTTATTGCTTGTTATAACACCGAGCGGTAATGGGGCATATGGAGTCGTAAGTGGCGGAAGAAGCTCCTCTTTATTTTTCCTGCACGCAGGAATGCCCGAGTACACGCTAATGAACAATACTGGAGGAAATCTTGATTAGTCCTCGGTTAGCATCGTTCGTCTTTGTTCGCTGTAAACGGTTTCCCGCCGCTCACTGCATCATTCAATGGTAACAGGCACGGAGCGCAAAGCAATGAAAGTTAAAATGATAAAAGGCAATGGAAGGGAGTTTATCAAAAACTGGTGCAGACAAAATCTGGAGCAGCTGCGCATGGCAACCAATCCACATCCACCTTTCATTTTCAAATCTTTACTGAACTGAGAAGCTGATTGGTTGCCATGCACAGCTGCTCCAGATTTTGTTAAATTGCCCCCAAAAATTGTTCCAGAGGGAGGCTGCTCTTTTGACATGCATATATTTTGACACGGGGGCAGTGACGCAATGAAATATGCAACTAGTATTTAACTTGTCTGCTTCTCTCGGTCTACTCGGCCAATACGGGTTCATTTCTTTTTGGGAGGTGGAGAAGAAATACACATGCTCCCTCATACACAGAAATACTGAGAATCCCACAGGGCTTTGGCAGGGGAGCTATACTTTAAAAGGTACATTAGATGGCCATTAATATGGAGTTGCCCCTCCATGGCCATTAATATGGAGCTGACCCCCCCGCATATGGAGTTGACTCCCCCACGCCCATTAATATGGAGTTGCACCGCTATGGCCATTAATATGGAGCTGACCCTCCCATGTGGAGTTGACTCCCCCATGGCCAATAATATGGAGTTGCCCCCTTTGTTGCTATACTATCCTCCACTCTTCTAGGAAGACTTTCCACAAGATTTTGGAAAGTGTCTGTGGGAATGTGTCATTTGTGAGATAAGGGACTGACATTGAATGAGAAGACCTCGATCCTGGTCAAAATTCCAATTCATCCCAAAGGTAATCAGTAGTGTTAAGGTCAGAGCTCTGTGCAGGACACTCGAGTTCCTCCACCAAGCTGGTCACACCATGTCTTTATAGAGCTGGTTTTGTACACAGGGGACAGTCATGGTGGAACAGAAAAGGGTCTTCACCAAACTGTGACCACAAG